CTCGCCCGCGGTTTGGGCTTATTCTACAACTTACGCTCATAACTTTCTTCTTTTGCAGGATTATTGGGAATGAATTTGTTCCCTGACATACCCCAACCATCCTATCCCCCTAGAACTAGACAGAGGGGCGTGCTCCGCGCCACACCCAGGCGGCTCCACGACAAATTCCTACCAAAACAATATTGCCAAATGCATGTCAGTAGAAAAAAAACAGCGAATAGCCTCTGATAGGATACAAACCTGCTCAATTTTCTCAAAACAGACAGTTCTGCTATTATTTGCGAAACTGTACTTTCAAACTCCCTCATCTGTTGCTAAATTTTCACCACCCGCCTCAGTTAAGCTCCTGAAAATCAATAGCATGGCCGTATCCATTCGTGTGATCCTCACATTCCTCTCAAAGATGTGTTCTGATGTCCCCTACCGTCAGCGAATCTTCCTTGCTATTGCGTGGATGCCCAAGATCACGCTACAGGCCATCTTTGCCGGCATGACCCTTGACGCAGCCAAAAAAAATGGCAGTGACACTCTCAAATCACACGGTTATACGGTAAGATATTTTTGTGTGCAAAAGTCCAGTTGCAGAGGCTAACAAAAGGTGCAGAGGTAGTCTCAACCGTTGAAGTAGCCAGTTTTAATTGTCTGTTTGTCTTGCAATTTTCCACGTAAACCCGGAATCGGCGTTGAGCAAGTATAATTATATTTCACAGAAATCCGTGGTGGTGTATCTGACATACAATGCGGCGAGGAAGTCGTGAAAATTACTCAAGCTCCGCAGACGTAAAAATAGCTTTAAATTTGAAAAGTAAATCTAAATATTTTCATACGTTGAATGGAAAACCATAATGCTTTCTTTACACCAATATAACCTTTCCTTTGTCAAACTATTGTAAACTTACTTCATTTATTTAATTAAAATAAATTGCAGATCATCCTATCATTTCCAGCAAGAGTTTGATGATTTTCTGCGTTTCTACGCTGTATTCCATAATAATAGATTCTGTTCAATCTTCATACCTAAATCTTTGAAATAAGATATGTATTCAAAGCATTTAAAGCGTTTATGAAGTTCCCCATGTTACCCATATTTAGAAATTCCTCGAAACACCAATACACGCTGTCGAGCAAAAAGAACGGTCTCAACAGAAGTTTTGTATTTCTATTCTAGAATAATTTACCTCTTAACAACTAATTTTAATTAGATATTCGGCTGAGGAATATTTGGGTATGTTACCTCTTTCCAAAGTAATGTCAAAATACAAAAAGAGAATGTTGATGAGTATTTTTACTTGTCTGAAAAGTATAGGCGCAATTTGGCTGACTATGAAAGAACTCACTTTGCTCTTTATATTGGAATATGTTCAACATTTTCCTAGCTTAAAGGCTACCTTATAAGCTTACGATTGCAAAAAGATTGATTGTATATACAGGGTGTCCCAAAAAATGTATACACATTTTGAACAATTGTAACCTTAATGTTAACTATAATTTTATTATTGCAAAATTGTAAAAGTATTTAGAAGTATCAATTTATTGTTCTTCCACCGCGTTTTCACTATATTTTAAGTAATTGAGAAAGAAAGAAGCCATTGAACATAAATGCGCCCAAATACGAATGGATTTGTTTTATGGTGTGTGCGATTCCATTGCTTCGCGGTGTCAGCAGTGTCTGGATTAAATGGACGTCAGTTTGCGAACATGCAGTGAAAAACTATTAAGTGATACTTATAAGCAGTTTAACATTTTTGGAACAGTAAAATTACAGTAAACATCGAGGTTAAAATTGTTCAAAATGTGTATAAATTTTTTGTTCAAAATATCTCGAATAGTAAAATTATAGTAAACATCGAGATTAAAATTGTTCAAAATGTGCATACATTTTTTGTTCAAAATATCTGCAAAAATATTAATCTTCTGCCTTTTCCGTTTCTAAGCTACAAATAAGCGGGAACGATATTGTACGAGTTAATTTATACATGTTTAAGATATAATAAGACTTTCTTTTAGTTTCCTCTTTGCGATAGTATATATGTGGTTTTGGTTATCATCCAAATCGTTGGTGTGGTAGAACAAAATGTGATCAAAAAGGTTTCCTTGTTGCATTTTGTGCCAAAATCTACCAAATTGGTAAAAATGTTGAAATAAAATTTCAGAAGATGAAATGGCGAACATACGTTGGTTTTCGAAAATTCTCATCAGGCCTTCACATTTATATGGTAATTAAGTAAATGAACTATGTGGACTGGTAGAAAAATAGAACTGTTGTCAGGACAGGGGGAATGGGGGGATAAGGTGGGTCAAAATCTGGTTAGCGTTAGGGGGAACTGGTAGTCGACCGAGGTGCCAAGCTGCCGGCTGTTGGATTAGCGACTTTTGACCATGGTAACTGCGGCGCCGCCACGAAGTTCTTTTGGAGGCACAGGACTGGTCGGTATAGCCTGATGGCGGCCGCTTCTGTCGATGCCAACATACACTTGAGGGTACCTTGTAGCTCACTCGAAAGGCCTCCTTGGCATCCACTCGATGGTCTGAGTCTACCAGGTGCGCTAGAATGGAACTATTTACAGCCCCCTTTCTTCCCTCCATTCCCTCTGTCCTGACAACAATTCTATTTCTCTACCAAGCCGCATAGTTCATTTACTTAATTACCATATAAATGTAAAGGTTTGATGAGAATTATCGAAAAAAAAAACGTATGTTCGCCATTTCATCTTCTGAACTTTCCAATGGGAATTTTCGCAAAAAAATTAATAAATAACATTGTTCCTTGTTTCTTAAAATAAATGCAATTCGTTACTTTTAACTTTCCCTGCATTTATCAACATGAGACAATATTTTGCAGTCCCAGAAGGGAA